TTTCACTCATTAATCAATAGTAGCAGAGCTGTCATGCAACAATTTGGGGTCAGTGTATTGCCCAAGGAAATGTAGCACGGGATCAAACAACCAACCCTGCATTTAATGGACAACCTGCTCTATCACCTGAGCCACAGCCATCACACGGTCAGTTTTCTTCAGTGCAATACCCAGCCATAGATAGAATCACAAACAAACTACTATTTATTTCCACATCTCAGGCGTGGTGGGCAACAAACCCTGGGCCATTTTTTGCACCTACCCAACTGTTCTTATAAGCAAACTGCTACTTAAATTACTAGATCAACCATTTAAATACACAATAAATTATTACTAAATGAAGTGCAAGATTAAATCATTACTACAATTTTTAGAAACTAGGTCACATCTGCCTGTGTTGTTAGTGAAGGCTTAGGTGAAATTTCCAGGTGAAACCTCAGAAGAAGGTCAGGGAAACAGGACAAACCTGCCCAAACAATCAGTATTTGGGTAAAATATCCTGATCTGTTTAGCCCCATTACCATGTGAGAGCTACACTGAAATACTAGAAATTCCTCATCTTTTTCAGAGGGAATCCAATGAAACCCTCTTACTTTGTCAAGAAAATGATGGTATTATTTTAAACATAGTTTGAATTGGAGTTATTGGGTAGCCTTTTGATCACTTTAACTGTAGAAGGGGATTCAAAAGTCAGTCAAACATTACCGATTCTTCTCAAGCAAACACTGAGTGAATGCATTATAACACTTCTTTATATATATATATATATATATATTTATTATCTTAAGTGGATTTACTGCCACATCAAATTCTGCACATTCTTGACAGCTTCCATAGTGATGGGGAGAAATGTTAAAAGGGATGTGACAGATTTCTTGACTCTTGAAGAGTTTCTAATGTTGCAGAAGTTAGGATTTTCAAATTGGGGACTTTAATGGGACACCAGTTAAAATACAAAAGGAACAAACACCAGGTCTAATTTCTTCACGAACAGTCTGATGTTACATTATATCAACAATATTGCAATATTAGAATGTTATCAGTTATTGAAACGACACAGGTGTGCCTTTTTCTTATGGAGTCATAAACCTCCATAAAAAAATACCACCAGAAGACAAAATGTACTTTAAATAAACCAGCCTTCCCATTACATGATGTAATCACACAGTGGCCCAGTGTTTTATAGATACTGGTGCTTATTTTCCCCCAAAACCAACAAATTAACATTGTCAGGGCAGGTTAAGGTGGTCCTTTAAGGGAGAAATCCCAACATATACTTGGAGGATTTGTGTACAGACTGTACTGCCTATAACGCAGGCCGATTGATGTTTATCCCACCTTAACTTTTTCGCGTGGGTGTTCAATGGTCGTGCTTGTGTCTGAGGCGAACTGGCATATGACATAACATCTAATGAGTCCGTCTGCCATCATTTTACAATTCACTTATCTGGTAATAACAATACTCACCCTCAGAGCTGCGAGGTCTATGTCATCCAGGCTTCTTGTGGGGGCGTTTTCAGACATAGCTGGCGAAACTTATCACGCTGGCTAATAAGTTAGCCACTAATTTGACAAGAAGTGCTTAAGGGGGATTTAAGCGGCCGATCACGCGAGCTTATAACGGCCTAAACCCAGGGGAAATACAGCAAAGTGGCGGTCCAACACGCAGGAGCTGTAGCACTTAGATTAGCAAATGCATCGCAGATAGAGCGGACAGACGCACCCAGCTGGCTAGCTCACGTCAACTCTGACCGAAAGCTGTAAATGTTATTCGCCCTTGTTTTACAGAAATGCCGCCTGCGGCAGCAAATCAAATCGCATGCAACTTAAAAAGTAGGATTTTTTTAGACAGACTGTCAACGTTGCTGTTAGCCGCCCATTTGATATCGATCTAACAACTGGCAGGTTTCAAATGCAGAGCACCTCCGCTGTTGTTGAACACCTTGCTGCGTTCATTTTGACAAGACGCCGCTTCTCCCCTGCTCTCCAACATCCCAGCTAATCTCACATATGATACACCGATGCGTGTCACCGAGGGGGGAGAAGAAGAAGAAAAACAACTACCAGACAGGTGTTGTGTGCCACTGAAACATTCCTACTTACACTGATAAAGTATGCTATTTTTTTTTTTTATTATTTACGGTTTAGCAGCGCAGTGATTGTTTTACTAAGAACGCAACGTCTGATGTGATGGCGTCCCCGGGTCCGTCCGCACCGCACCAGAACCGACCGTCAGGCTCTCACTGCTGGCCTTAAACCTCCCGGGATTTTGTCACAGATTAGGAGCGTTGGGAGGAAAAAAAAGGGCCTCGTTTCAAATGCGATTCCCTGCGGCTGCAGTTGTCAAACTTGTTAACGCGAGTTAAATTCGCCCCCCGGGTTTCGTCCAGAGCGCACAAATAATCCGAATACCGAGTCAGGTGTGTGCGGTTAATCTAACGTTTAACTGGCCGGCTGGCTAACGCAGCTAGGCTAGCGAGCTAAATTGTCTTTTCCAGAATAAACTTTCCCTTTCCTTCTTCATCCATGTTCTGTGTTGACAGTCGCGCCTAGCACTGCCAACCTTCCGGGGGAAAACACGGGCAGACGAGCAGGCACTGTGTTATCGGCAGCCACCGTAATACTTGTAAGCCTGAGCACTCGACGCTTCAAAGTTGAGCGCTGCCGTCGATCTCCGGCGTCCAGATTTTATGAACTTGCAGTCATAGTCCGCCACTGCTAGAATCGGTGCAGTTTCTAACTGCGGTATAGCCGCCAAACTTGTTATTTCGCCATGTTTTGCTTCCCAAGTCCACTCCTCCCTCCCACTCGCAGCCTAGATGTAGTCTTGTTGGGTTTGTACTGACGATTGGCTGCACGCAACACTCCTGAAGTGTTTTCTCTTCTCGACTGGCTACGGTGCTTCATCAGGGACAAATTACCCGAAATTACAGTGGACTTCAGCCTACGCAGCTGCCTCTGTCTTGTTTGAGCTGCACAGCTAAGATCATCCCTAGGCATACCTGTCCTGCTCTGGCCTTCTGGGTCACTGGATACACGTTTAAGGCTAAAATACTGCTGAATAAACAATGCAGATTTTGGTAATAAGTGCCACATCTAACAAATATTCTCCTCGTCTTGGTTTTATGTGTGCGTCATCCAGCAGATTGGAGATTGTTATAGTCAGTTTTCCATTAGAGAAAGCTCACCTTTATAGTGCTTGTCAATGCTGCATGAATCAGTTCCAAAGCTTTTCCAGATAAGCACCTGACTGTTATTAAAAGGGAAAAAAAAACAGACTGTATGGCAATAACCTGAACAATGCATTAGTCATTTAGTGAACATTAAGCTTTCATGCCACGAATACCAGTTTCCTGTGTAAAGCACATGCTCTCTCTTAGAGTAACTATTTGCTTAAAGGATATCCAGCTAACAAAGGATATTGCTTCCATGGTGACAAAAGTAGTTTAGATATAAACAATTAACATTTCCCCTTTTCTGTTTCTCTTGCCATGTGATAGACACGTCTAGACAGTCATTTTAGTTGCGTTAAGATTTCATACAGTATAGAAATGCATGCTGATACACATTTGAACATTTTATTTTTTTTAATATATTAAATCCAGTTTGAATGCAGTCTTTTCTTTTTAAAAAAGCACTAACATTTACAAAAGTAATACAAGAGAAGGCTGAAAAAAGTAAATTTTAAAAGTAGATATTCGGATATAAAAAACAAGTTTATGTTAAAAAAAAAACAATAAAATACAAGTTGCTCATAATTGCACTAACAAGACTAAGAATATTGGTCATTGCTCTCTACCCCTGAGTGTTAGTAACCCTATACATTAGTAATTATAAGGTAATGACATTGATCTACAGAGACAAGGTTTCACACAGTGACTCTCAGGGATGAATACAAACACATTTCAATGAG